CCGACAGATCAACCACCTGAATCTCTTTTGGTTGTTGCTCTTCTGTTTGTGGATCTTCTGTTGGTTGTTCTGCTGTCTCAGCATTGGCTTCATTTGTTTCAATATTGGCTTCATCGTTCGCCAAGTCTTTCTCTTGTGGCCTACTGAGTTCAGCAGAGTCCAATGTTTCAGAAGTCCTTGGCGCAGAGCTTTCAGTGGTTTCCTGGAAAAAAGAAGAAGAAGAATCTTCTAAGTTAGAAAGAGACATAATCGAAAGAGGGTATCGACACCTGAGTTAAAAAGGAATCAAAGAGATTACCTGCAAAGGAGCTTCAGCCCCAGGGCTGGAATTGTCGCTTTCGACAGGTTTATTGAGAAGAACATTTAGTTCCTCCTCCGTTGGCTCTTCAATAATGACTGGAGGTGGCCTGGGCTTTCTCCCAGCAACCTTTATTCTGATTGTTCGACCCTCAGGAAGAGGAACATCCTTCTTCAGCTTTCACCTTTTAAGAGGAGCAGGGGGAGAATCGTCTTCTTCATCACTCCCAGATTCGACCGTCAGTGCTGGCTGTTTCTTAGGTGAAGGTGCCTAAAAAACCAATTGGAGTTCGACTTAGAAGCTGCATCGAAAGTCAGAATGTTAAAGCTAGAAGAAAATGATAAAAGTCTGGTTACCGATGCAGAAGGCTTTTTCGAAGGGCCTTCCCCCTGTTGGTTTGTTGTGGTCTTCGCCGGCGCTATAGTTTTCGCCGGTGGTGGAGGTTTTGTTAAGGGGCCTCCTCCCTGATGGCCTTCTGCAGCCTTCTTGGCTGCAGGCTTTCGAACAACTGAAAGTAGACAAAATAATTAACAGGCTACCAGTCTAAAGGGAAAGACAAAGTAATTCGGAAGGATGAACTTACATTTCTTTATTTTGTCCAAGACAAGAACAAAAGACTTCTGAAGTTCGTCCACGAAGTCCTTCTCGTCGAAAAACTCCTCAATGTAGTAACTTTTCCACCACTCCTCGAAGGATGGTGAGCAGAGAAAGTTAAGCTGATAGTCAAACAACGAAAGGACTGTTCGACCAGCATACCTGCCGATATGCTTAGTGGCCGCGTCTTCAGTGTAGTCATTGCAAAAGTATAACATAGACTTCTCCCTTGGAAAAATTGGAGAAGGAAGTGTTTGAATAATACCAAATTGGCGAGACACCAAGTTTGGTTGATACGCGATTAGACTCAAGTGAGTCTTGGAGCTCTTGAATCGCAGGGGCATTATTCTTGGTGTGAGAAATGCCTCCCACACTGTTGTATGCTCTTCGACCTGAGGACCACTTGACGCCTTAGGATGTGGCCTCGTGAACCACACTGGACCAACCTTTCGTCGAGCAAAGGGAGCCATGGTCGAAGCAAACTCTTTCCTTTTAGCAAACATCAAGACGAAGTTTGTAAAAGTTTGTTGAAGCTCCAGCCCATCTTCCGTTGGAGTCAGCAGAGCCAATCTGGTGCCTTCGTTGCACCTATTTGCTATTTCCGGAGCCTGCTCATTTATTTGAGTCTTCTGAGGTAAGAAAGACTCGAAGGTGGCATTGAGCCACAGCTGAAGCAGCCAAAAAGGTCCAGCAAGCAGCAGACTGGCTATGTTCTCGATGATCTTCAGAAGAGTCGCTCCGTTGCTAATCGACTCGTACAGATTCGCCAAAATCAATTCTGCAAAACAGATATTTTGGCCATGGCGGAGTTGAGTGGCGAGAGTGACCATCTTCTTGGTCACCTGTAAAGACTTGGTGCAAAACACAAAGCATGACAGCCATAGGGCTAGAAACGCGATATACTCTACATCCGACACAGCGTCCGTCGACTTATCGTGGTAGTGATTGATGTAGGTGGTGTAGGTTGGTTTTGTGGCAGAGAATCCAATCTGATCCTCCGACATTTCCTCTGGGTCGAAGTAGTCCCCAGTGGGTCGAAGGCCAGTGATGGCGGCCACGTCGAAGAGCGTGGGAGTCAGCATTCCACAGGGAAGATGGAAGGTGAAATGGGTGTAATCCCAGAAGAGTAAGGAAGCTATCAACATTTCTGGGGAATAGTTAAGACCCGTCTTCGACAACATAACCAGGTCGAATATCCCCATGTTTTTCCAGATCGAAGCCTGGCGTTTCTCCATTTTTTCCAGCCAAGCACTATAGTCAGGAGTAAGGCTAGGGCTAGACCTGAAAGCCCTAACACCTCTATTGAAGAAACGGAGGTCGATTTTCTCCTTAGCAGGATCTTCATTATCCTCTGCATCTTTCTTGGAGCATCCAACCGGTTTGAGTTTTTCAAGTACCGGAAAATAGCTTTTGATCTTCATGGCCTCAGCAATGCTTGGGTAGAGTGGGCCAAACATGGCAAATATTTGGTTGGAGTATCCAACCGGAATCATGAGGTGGCGTGAATAAGCATCACGTACAGCAATGTCCAAGGGCTCAGGGACCCTTCGTTGGCCCGTGGGAGTAACTACGGGAGCAGTGGAGAAAATCCTGGGTTTAACATTTCCAGAGGGGATGTTAGCGTTGGGAGCGGTGGAGGAACCGGATGCCATTGTTGATACTAAGGTTGAAGATGAAGTGAAGAACAGGTGGTTTGCAAAGTTGGTAAGAGTTTGTATGCAACGAGGAATATCTGAAGGCAAGGTAGCGTGAAAAAGTCCCACAATGGGTACTTGGCGCTATTTATAGTAGTTGGGAAAATCCCCAAATTCGAGGACATTTAATGCCATTTAATGTTGCAGAAGGTAGTGGGACACGTGGCGTCTCCCTGTTGATGTAGCCGTTCTGCAGAAATGAAAGGGTGCAGCGTGCGCCCTCGTTTTTGGGAATTGTCATGATGACAATTTGTGAAAAGACGTTTGGCACGCTGCACGCCGTACTGAAGTGACGTCTTAGGTACGGATGAAATGATGGCTTTTCCTTGAGATTGTCAGTGGTTGGTAGAAGACAAAAAAGTGCACAATTTAATTTGTGACTAAGAATGAAAAGACAGGTGTCGAATGGCATTTCAAAGAATGCCTTTTTCTTTCAGAGTCGAAATAAGGCATTCTTGGGGGGCAATTTGTTGGCTCCTAAATTCGACACCCTTGTTTTTATTAACATCAGCTATTAAAGCTGATGGATGTTTTCGACCAGCTGGGTCTGCCGAAATGCCCATCGAAAGATGGCAATGTACTTAGAGGATTTCTTCCAAGGGAGAAGTTGGTTGCCTTCGACGTCGAAGGTGTTTCTCGTCGAAGATGCTTCTCGACGAAGGTGTTCGATTGTTCGGAGTGGAACGGTTTGAAATTCGAGCATTTGGAGGGAAAACGGTTTCCAGCGGTTACCAAGTGCAACGTGCAAGGATCTGGAGCGTCGAACACCGAGAACGTGCCAAGTGGAGTCATCTCGAAGCAGTGTAACTGCCCGACGGTTACTTGGGATGTTTTAGTATAAATAGTAGTAGTTCACGCAGTTTTTCGCGTGTGTTCACAATTATATACAAAGTCACTCATATAGATTCGAGTACCCAGCGTGTGAGAAAGAATTGTTGAGAATGTATGTGTGAAACACCACTTTTATTAATCAAAGTCATTTATTTTCCAGAAACTTTACTTGCTTTCTTCTTTACTTTTCCTGTCGAAGCCCTTTATTTCAAGCCTTCATTTATTTTATCAAGCCCATTTCTTCATGCAATTTACTTAAAGCCTCTTTATTTTCTTGTCATTTAACCATTATCCAACTTAATCAAAACCTCAAAATCAACCATGTCTTAGGATCAATCTGATCGATCCTGCGAGTAACCAAATAAGTAACCATTTGGAGGATCAGCGGTTGTTTACCAATAACCACGGTAAACACACTAACACTACTTTAAAATTTAAAAATGACAATTAAAAATAAACATAAAATTTTTACAAGATAACAATTAAAAAGGAACTAAAGAAGTAATATAATAGAAGAAATTTCAACGTATCCATAGTTGCGAAGCACAAGCACAACCTAAGATACAAAGTCATGATTAAGCTAAGTTGTGAAAGAAGTTATTGATCATTTTGAGTCCAAGTGTAGAAGAAAGGATTCTCAATTGTAGTGTCGATGATTGGATTAGTGATGTGTCATTCTAGAATGTTACAACAAAGAAGGAAACCTTGAAGGTTACGAGCATTCACAACTGATTCAATCTGCTAGCGATAAAAGAGAAAATTCTTTGTATCAGGTTTTTCGAAAAACTAGATGAAACTTAACTAGATCAGATTTCAAAAACGATTATAGTGGCGTAGGTGGTTGCATAGGCGGAGGTGGTGAGGACAATTGTGATTCAACCATGATCAAGGATCTAATATAAGCTTTATGATACCATTTTAGAGAAGATAAAAGTAATGCTTAATTTTATTCTAGACTAGCTTAGAATTTTGTTTCTGATTAATGAAACGAAGTCAGTTGCATGCAAAACGTTTACACTTTTCTTTTTGTATGATTTAGAGAATACAGAATTTGATTTTTAATAAAAATAATGTTTGGTCATTGTTATGATTTTTTGACACGAACTCTGAATTACTAAAACTTCATTCCCTTAAAACCGGAGTCGAAAGAAAAAGAAAAAAAAACAAGCAAGTGATTTCCATACTACATGGCATATTTCATACCAATCAATCTGCATGTTCTTTGTAGTTTTAATATTTAGATTTAATTTTAAAATAATTGATGTTTTAAAAACACAGTATATAATTCATCATTATTTTCCAATAATACTCAAAGGTATAATTAAGATTTTTTTTACATTCATATTGAAAAACTATGATTCATGAAATATTTCCTGATAAAAGTATTCGTACTAGAATACATATATACACATCAATTATACAATTGATTAATACAGTATGTGTTCAAAAGACTCAAATTACCAAACATAAAAAGTGAAGGTATAATCATCCCACACCCACTCCAACGCCACTTATTTCCCTCACATTCCAATCATTGATGAATGTTGACAACTTGATAACTGCATTGTCTTGGTGAATCTTAGCTACTCTGTTAAAGTTATTGGACATTTCAGTGTTAGATCCAATTATATCACTCAAGGATTAAATCATATAATATAGCAATTGAGATGAACTTTTGGCTTGAGTTCAAATTTAGTGTTCTTTGAAAGTAAACGCGCCAACAAGACCAAAAGTAAGTGTTGTTTAAAATTATTTCCAGATTATAGTTTTTTTTCTCCATCACAAATCTTTAACAGAACAGAATGGAATGTCTGAGTCTGATTCACCTCTATCCTTGACCTTGAGTGATACAATATTACAAGTACGGTGTAACAGCAAAAATATAAATCGGAACCATACATAACAAAATGTAATATGCAATAGCCAACCTTGGCACTATAATAAAAAGTGTATATAATAATACATTTTCTAGAACTAGTATAACTAAGTAAGCTACGTCTGTTGCAATTATAACTCAATAGAGCAGTAGAAGAGTGCTCAAAGGAGAAATTCAAAATTTTAAGGATCCTGGGAATCTGGTTGGTGGTTAATCATACGAGAAATTATAACTTTATAGAATTCATTGATTGCAGCTTGATAATCACCTGAATCAACAGGAAATGTCCGTCTTGATGATGACTGTTGGTTCAATCCATCGTATTCACTTGCAGCAACCATTGTCCGTGAAGTGGAAAGGGTCTTCTCCAAATCTAACTGTGACAAACGTCTAGGTACCTGAAACATGAAGCAAAAAAACTGCTCAGTAATTTTCATCTCCAGGACTCATGATATGAAAAAGGCGCTGAGAAGGCCAATCAGTTAGCAAGACTAAATATGTGAAATTATTTCCGTAAGTAACAGATTGATTTCTCACATTAAAGTAATTGCTATTAGTGACCCGAGTTGCTTATAATCATACAAATATAACTTTGGATGGATAGTAGTTTCATTTCCAAATAAAACAGACATACTCAGATTTACTCATTTTTCTTTCACTTCTACATAGCAGAAATTGAAATGCATTCCAGCCAAGGTAGCCGTGCAAAGCATATTATTCACTATTTTGAGAATGTAAAATTATAGCAGAGAAGAGTGTGAAAGAGAACAACATATCATTCACTATTTTGATAATGCAAAACTATAGCATAGAAGAGAGTGAAAGAGAATGACAGATATACTAACAGGAGATTGTTTCCCTTTCTTCTCATATTCCAGCAGTTCTCTAATAGAAAAATAGGCGGCCTTCTGACAAAGATCAAATAGATCTGAACCAGTGTAACCCTCGCATAAGCTAGCTATATAATTGAGGTCTATGTTATCTTCAATCCTTTCACCCTTTAAGATAATTTTCAATATATCAGCCCTTTCCTTCTGGTCAGGAAGTCCAATTTCAAAGGATTGAGGAAAACGCCGAAGTATTGCTTCATCAAGTTCTGAAGGACGATTAGTTGCTGCAAGTACCATAATTCGGGCATTCTCTATAGAAAAACCAAAAGAAAAAAATATTTAGAAGACATTATTAACAAATCAAAATTGCCACGTGTTTTGAAAGTTTATACATTAAACAAAAATTACATGGCAACTGTATAAAACTTACGGTTGGTAGTGAATCCATCCCATAGAGCCATGAACTCAGTTTTCATGTTTAACAAAGCCTCGTGATCTGATTGACGACGCTGACCCAAAAAACTGTCTACTTCATCAATGAATATGATGGCAGGCTGAAGCTTATAAGCCAAACTAAATACAGCCGACACTGCAGTAGAACAGAAAAATATTAATGATAAACCAAAACAAAGAACCGCATTTAAAACAACAAACATATAGCAAATTGATTACATAAAAAGTTAGATACAGTTTTATATTATATAATCACAGAGCTAGAGTTTGAGAAATGAAGTATAGTTACATAACCTAAGATGCCCTCGTTAATATTCTATTGAAGAATTTCTCCTATGAGCTGAGGAACAGCTTCAAGCCTCACAGACGACTTTGCTAATTCATAACAATTAGAGAACCAACAGGGGTGGCCAGCGCTCTACAGATACACTCCTCAACAAGGAACACAGAAGGATGAAAAACCCAACCAACAAAAACATATAGGGAAACCCTTATACACATTCTATAACTGGAATTAATTGTACCATTTTAACCTTACTTGAAACCACTTCTCATAATATCTTCTTTCAGAAGTTAACAAATTAATGGAGAGAGGGAGTTTCCCTACTATTTTTAAGTGATCCTCATGCTATAAACTCATTTTCCCTATACAAGCTCACTATCATCAATTTGGGAACAGCAAGCTGCTATTAGATGACCAGATGGCCTTATCCATCAAACAAACTGAGACAATGGTTTAAAAGCACTCACTAGTATAGATAAGTTAATTTAAAAGAACATCCACACTCCACAATATAAATTGGAAGCACATCAAACAAAAAGTACCCAGTTTATAGCAGAAAAAGTTAATAATAACATCGGCATGGGACATGGATACAATACAACTGTTGAAGTTGATAGTTGTTGGAGTTTGTTTGAAGTCCACGTTGCTTAGGTTCCCGGGTTGTTGGTTGTATAAATATGTGAGGGCAACCTCACCCTATGAGCTAGCTTTTGGAGTTGAGATCCAAGCATATTTAACATGGTATCAGAGCCGAGTTAAGCACAGCCCACGCTAAGCGTGAGGGTGGGTGTTGAAGTTGACAGTTGTGTTGTTGGAGTTTGTTTGAAATCCCAAATTGCTTAGGTTCCCGGTTTGTTGATTGTATAAATATGTGAGGGCAACCTCACCCTTTGAGCTAGCTTTTAGAGTTGAGATCCAAGCATATTTAACAACAACAAAGCAAAAATACAGGAAAACAAATTATCATAAATATGGAACAACTTGCCTGCGATATTGGTCAAAGAATCGAAACAAGTCTATGCTGAAATATATAGATTTGTAGTATGACATTAAAAATCAAAATCGCTGTGAATCTTTTAAACATATGCATGATTTTGGGGATAACTTATAAGCAACAGTGGTTTGCGGATTGTTAAAATTCTGCAATGCAATAGAGATATAACACCACTACAGCTATTTGACAACAGTTCGTACTAAATAGCATATTGCGGAACAATAGTGGCATGGTTGTCAAACTCTCGATCTAGATCTTAAAATCTTGAGATTTTACGATCTCGCTCACCCCAACGATCCCGGTCTTAAGTAGAATCGCGTGTTGTAGCCAAATTGTGAAAAATTTCGCAAAATCATTGATTTTGTGCAATCATTGTCAGTTCCGGCCATGGTTGGCCGTTTTCCGACCACCACCATTAAAAGGTGAGAAGAATGACAAGATGCAAAGGCACAACAATTATTCTTCGGCAGGGATGAACGCGTGCTTTTTGAAATGATGAAGTTTGAGATTTAGGACTTAGAGAATAAACATCTCACTTGTAGCGTTTGTTTTAACTAATTGACTTAAGAGAATCCTAGTAATTAACCAAAGATGTCCCTAATGTCTACAAATGTTCCATGTGGTAATAAATAATAAGATATAAAAACTCAATCATGCATGTCTAAAGATATGAAAAAGAGTCATTTTCTCATGAATACACTTGCCAACGAACATATATCATGTAAAAATACTTTAAATATGTACCATTGTTTTTTCATTTTAGTAGGATCTAACGATTATTGTTGTGATATTACATTTTACGATATTGTTACCCCCTCTCGATCTTACAAAAATAATTGGATAGGATCTTCCGATCTTAGCTATGATTTTTATTTTATGATCTTGCTATTCTCTCCCGATCTTATGTAAGATCTCAATCTTGACAACCTTGAATAGTGGTTTGTCCGAATTCCACTATGCCATTGCGGCTATTTAACAGCATTTATTAACATTAATAATGTACATTGCAAATTCACTAGAGATTTAAAAGTCAGAAGATTACACAAAGTATCATCAGTTATTTTTAGATGTTCTTAAAACTTCATTCATAAAAGCAACAAGTCAATAAGATCCATCATGTTGAAATTGACACAGAATATCTGTAAGATAAACACTTTAATATAGGATTTGCTACCTTATAGAAAGAAGTGGGTTGATACTTATACATTAAAACAAAATATGGGTACAGCAACTACATGACGACAAAGACTGTTTTCAACAACCACATCAAAGAAAGTTAATACTTTTTCGACTAATAAAACATGGCAAACTTTTTTTGGTCCAAGGTCATTTATCTTCAAATTATGGGATACTAATATAATATAAGGTTTTAAACTACTACTATTACTGCTTCAAAGATCTTTAGAGGCTAATTGCCCTACATACTATCACAATACATGATCAGAACAATCTTACATGTATGATATAAGTACTCGTATTGACTGATTTTCTGCATAGATATTTGTAGTTCCACTCTAGACCATGTATTAAAAATGCTGGCTTATATTTTTCATTTTGTCGCTGAGTCTTGGTATTGGGTGGTCAAGCATAGATGTATAATTAGGACACAATGGGAGAGGGAAATCATTCTGATTTGTGAACATTGACTGAATAAAGCATTGGCTCTGTCGTAGTCGATAACACTCGGAGAAGAGTCCTCTCTCCTATTCTAATTCTTGCTATCAAATTTTCAATTCTTTCCCAGAGTTCCAAACATTGTATCACACCCTCCATTCAAGGTAATTCAGTAAATAAATTTCAAGGGAAATTTGGTTCTCCTAGTGTCCTACATTTTAAACTCAACACTACAGTAGTATAGTTTGTGTTAACCTAAAATTTTCTTTCAAACAAAATAATAACAAATTTGTTGGAGAGCTGCTCTAATCATATCACAGAAATTATACATGGTGCATTAAAGAACCAAAGAACTATTCACAAAAACCCAACACACTTACCAAGCTTTGAGGCGTCTCCGAACCACTTGCTCATGAGGTTGGATATCCTCACATTAATGAAAACCGCTCCAGACTCCCTGGCAATAGCTTTGGCAAGCATGGTTTTCCCAGTGCCCGGGGGTCCATACAACAAAACCCCCTTTAATGGTCCAAGGAGCTTACCATGCGAAAACAACTCGGGGCGTTTCAAGGGTAGAATAACAAGCTCAAACAAAGTTTGTTTAATAGATTCGAGTCCCCCAATGGAGTCAAACTCTACATCAATGTGGTCAGGATTTATAACATCACCTGCTATTATATCCTGTACAGAATAGAAATCTATTACCCTAAAAACAAGAAAAAGAAACCCTAATCCGTCAAAGAAGTGTGCATTTTGGTACCTCATATTGATCTGTGTGAATGAGGGGACGACCTAGACGCTTTGCAATGGCTTTCTTGTGTTCGAGAGCTTTCTTGGAAGATTCACGGCTGGGGTCTAGGTAATGGAGCCCGGTGAATAATACCAAACAACTCAACGCTGCGCTTGCGGCGTATAGGAGAAATTCTTGCATGTACTTTCTCTCTGATGAACCCTTCATTATCTTATTCAACAATCAATACAGATGAGGCTTAATCTACGGTTTCTTCGGTACTTTATTTAATTCTCGCTTCAATTTAGATCACACACCGAGGAAAGGGGTTCCGGTTAGAAGAAAGAATCCCCAATGCTTGGAAATGCGGATGACGATTGAGCGAATTTCGAATGACTTGTTTTGGGCTGGACTGGGCTGGTCGCTGATAAAAAAAAAAAAAAAAAATTCTTATATAAGGGAAAAACAACTCTAAATAACCAAAAATGTTCTCAAAATATATTTTCAGGACGCTTTTTTTTTTCTTCTGAAAAATTATGTTTGAAACCGGGAGCAACTACGGTTTAGTATCGAACATGTATATTAGGTTCTTCTATAGACAATTCAGATTATATTATTATGCAGGTTTTTGTGCATTTATAAAATACGTGGTAAAATACGATTTCGATTAAATACGAAATAATCACAAAATACGTACAAATGCGCATAAATATTATGTTTCAAAATATGATACGTAAAATATTCCTCAAAGTGTTATCCAAATAATCTAAAATATGAAAAATATAATAGTACTATAAACAAAGTGCATCTAAAACTATCAGACTATTAAGTATGGCGGATAATGAGTCATCCCATGATATTAGCGACATTCCTCCGCTGCCATTTATAACACAAAGCCTCCCCAATCTCCTTCATGATGACATCTAGAACACCTCTAACATCAAAGTCATCATAAAACACACCTCTATCAATACCCGTCTGCGCAATCTCCGTGATACGACGATACCTAGACAACACATCATGAGCATGATTGGCCCTAGCCTGCTCCTCCTCCTCTAGAAGCTCTGCATGTGCTGGTCTAGATGGGTTACCTGGAGCCTCATGTACCAGATATGGATGTGACACCTTGAAGAACCATAAGATATATCCATCTTCATAGCTCCAATATTTTGGTGTTATGGTACTCTAGGCCTCATCCAACACAAGATAGTTAAGATCATCATCAAATATATCATTCATATCCCTCTGTTTCACCATGGGAGGGGCACACTCAGAGGGTGGTCTGGAAATGTGTTGCATGTATTTGAATTATCATATCACGCGCTCAGGCAAATAAGCAGTCGTCTTGCGCGACGCGCATATCAACCACCTAGTGAACAATACAATGTCATCAAAGGGAATCGTCCCACAGTGAGTCTCGTATGCATGGAAACATATATCCTCATGGACCAGACGGTTTATATACACCCTGAGTGGCTCTGTCTCTTGGTTCCCTCAGAGTGGATCGAATGAAGCGGCATGTGGTTGAACCTCAGTATATGTAGGCTCAAGTGACCATCCAGATATATGAGGGAAGTGTTGTAGGATACAGGCCTAAAATGTTACTATCATTAATAAGTAATGACATCAAAGTAATTTACATAACAAGACAAAAATAACATAAGAATAAGAAATATTATCGTCAAAAGTGTGATGATGTCGGTCATATGCTTTGTATTCCACTTAATGCCTTCGAACAACTTCTAGTACAAATACACCAAACAAGTTGCCCCTAGTTCCACTTAGCGATCCACTGAAAATCATTAAAGAACCGCATGCACATGATATTAGTGTAAGTAGCACCAGTGTCTATACAAATTTGTGTGCCAACCAGATACAAAAAATATACCCTCATAGCACGTGTTATATGTTAGGCTACCTGCATATCATTGTCAACAGCCTGTTGTGCACGCCCTGGCTCAGTTATGAACACCTGCTACAAGTAGTTAAATCTGACATGACACCCACGAGTTTTGTCGATCTCATCCATAGCATCCTCTAGAGTAACTTCTAAGTACTCCACCAACATATTCAGCGCCTCCTCTTTGGTGCACCTCTCATGATCTAAAAACCTCCCTCTAATCGGAAGGTGCAACAGGCACACGACATCGTCCAGTGTGATTGTCATCTCACCATGTGGTAGGTGGAACGATGATGTCTCATGATGTCATCTCTCAACAAAAATGTTAATCATACCATAATTAACGTTAGTATATCCATATAAGACCAAATCACGCAGCCCAGTGATGTGCAGCAACTCTTGGAACCATGGCTCGCCGGGTGGTGCCAGGTGACTGGTCTTCCCAACATGGTTATTTATCTTGAGTGGATTGTGGTCCTGCATGCATAGATAAACACCCGACTTAAATGAACATAATACTTAGCAAAAAAATAAACACAATACATAATAATTCTTAAATAAAATATTTACCTCCTTATCCCATGAGTATCTGGAAACATGGTCCAAATACAACAACATTAATGATAAATCAGAAGGTCCTCCTCCAAAAACCTGAGGCGCCTTTGGTGCCGCCTCTGATGCAGGCTGTGAATGGGCCTCTGATGCATATTGTGGATGGGCCACCAGTGGAGATTGGGTGGCCTCTGGTGTCTGCTAGGTGGGAACCGGTGTGGGCTGGGTGGGAGAAGGTGTCGATTGGGAAGAAGAAGTCTCTCTTATCTCAAAGAACACAGGGCATCCATGGGAGGAATAAGGTGGAGAGGTATGGGCTGAATGTGGTGTAATCTGTGGGTGGTAACCAAATGTCTTTCCTGGTCTAGATACCTGCGGTGAGGACGTACGTCTGCGGAATGACGAAGACGGAGATGGATGGATACGAGACTCTCGCCTTCTGGTCAACAAAGTGGAAGTAGAAACACCATCGGCAATGGACGCATCCGACACAGCCTGTCTAGGAGCCTGAAAAGCCTGAATCCTTTCTCTATGCATGAAGCATGCTGTGAAAGTCTTCTGTGTCGCAACTGGATAATCTCTCAGCCATAATACATGTAGAATAAATGAAACAAATATTAAACAATAACACTCTTATACATAAAATAGGGGAAAATTTTGTCTGATGCATAACCGGAAGTATACTTCCAGTTTTAGTCAAGAACAAAACTGGAAATACACTTCTGATACGACCTGAAACTTAACAAGTTCATCAATGGCGAAGCTAACCCCAATGGGGATAAAAAAATAAGCATTGATTGTCAAAAAGACACGGCTAACACTCCCGTATTGACTTCAAACATTGGAAGAATTAAAAAAAAAACATTTTACTACCCTAAAATACAATTTGTATGTAAAATAAATAAAAAACTCAATAATGCTTAAAAACAACTTACAATGATTGATTCTCCTTGGTTGATTTCGATTATGCTTGGTGATTTCCTTATGTGTTGTGATAAATTGATGGATTTTGAAACAAATGAGGAAAGGGAAGAGGTTTTGTATTTTGTTTGTGTTTGCAACAAATGAGGAAGGGGAAGAGGTAGCGCAGATATATGTCAAAATACAAACCAGAAATACACTTACAGTCTGGAACTGGTGTTACATTTCTAGTTCGTATCAACGTCGTAGAGTGTGGCTTCTCATAGTGAAACTATTTAGTTAATTTAAAGTGTAGCTGTAAATACAATATCGGTTTGGGAACCGTAAATGTACTTTTCAGTTTATATGTTTTTCATATAATAGGGTGCGCACGGGAAATATATTTTCGGTTCCTGGGAGCATATTTAGAAATTCACGATGGTGTCTAAGAAACAATTATGATGCATTAAGAAATTCTCATTAAAAAATGTTGATGAGCTTAAATCAAAGAGGATTTTATTTGTCACCCCCAAATTATACCTGCCACCTCTTAATTTTTACAATTTTAAAAAGAGTTAAATAAGTTTTTGGTCCTTCTAAATATCTCAAATTTCGTTTTTAGTCCCTCTAAAATTTTCCTTCAAAGAATGGTCCTTCTAAAAAATTAAATTTTAACTTTTGGTCTCTTATGCAATTTAGCGACGGTTTTTACAACTTAGCAACAATTTTAGCGATGGTTTTAGCAACGATTTTAACGACGGTTTTTATTTAGCGACGAAATTAGAGACTATTTTAGCCACGATTTTGTCAGGAGGGACCAAAAATTAAAATATAAATTTTTAGAAGGATCAATTTTTAAAGGAAAATGTTAGAAGAACTAAAAATAAAATTTGAGATATTTAGAGGGACCAAAAACTTATTTAACCCTTTTAAAAATGTTCTTGTTACTATTTACTTCTAAAAAAATTACATTTGTTAAAAAAAATCACTATTGATCAAGGAGCGAAACTTGAAATTTCTGATACCCATAACGAAATTTATGATATTAAATAGCGCATTTTACCAGAAATTGTTTGCATTTTCAAAATTTTCGGTGGCGTTTTATCAGAAATTTTGAATTTTTGAAGGCGATTATCTGGAAAATTTAAATTTTTTGGTGAATATTAAGAAACTAAAGAAACGTACCAAAAGTTTCTAAAATTTTCGGGACAAAACATATTTATCAGAATTTTTAAATTTCCGAAATACTGTGAATTTTGCATAATCTTGAAATTTTTGGTATGACTGCAGATATAATTCTTTATTTATGTAGTCCAAAGCCAAAATCTTCTTCTACGGATTTTTGTACAGATTTTACGGAGTTTTTCACCAAATATACCATATGCTTCCTATTGAACTAATGCAATTTTAATTTTTTTTTACGTCCTTTATGAAATTGATAGTTTAATAATTATATGTTATAATTGAAAAACTTTTAACTTCCGGTCTAAAGTTTTAGCATGGATACAGTCTATTGGTAAATAACATGGTATTGTTCTTGTAACTATTTGTTCTGACTCTGCTAATGTAATGCAAGGTATGAATGTTGTACCCCAATTTTCCCCCCTAAGATTCCGCTATCATATCATATCAACTCGATCATAACAAGATCACATTAGGGTTGGTTCTTCCTTTTTTTCTATCTCCTATCTTTAAGTTTGCTCTTGAGGAATCTCCAAGCACCTTAGTTGTGTATTTTGTATATGTGTTTTTGACTAACTTCTAATCAAAATACAAAAAAATATTTGTTTTTGTCTTTGTATATTTTTGTTTTGTAGGTACCAAGTCGAAGCATATGACGAATAAAGATTTCTGGTATTATTTTCCTAAAATCTCT